GTTTTCCATTGCACGCTGCTCCAACACACCCGATTCAAATGATGAGTTAATCAGCAAGATCTGCAGAAGCTGGATAAGGATCCTCATCATTTGAATCAGGTGTGTTGCCGTAGGGAGAGATGGGAAAACAGGAAGGACGGCAGCCCTCGAGCAACAGTGCCTTTATCTAGCGTGCAGCCCCGTGTCATCAATGACTGTGGAAATGTGCGTGTTTTCTTCAGGCAGTCGTCTTCATCAATCACATCTCTCGTGTTGAAGTCATGATTCATGTCAGCCCGCTTGATACAACAGCTCTCCAAGGTGTGATCGCTGCCATTTAACTGCAGACTAATCTGATGCAGGTATTCCTTTTTGGAATTGAATTTGGAGTGTCGTTCCATATTTTTCCTTATGATTGAGTGATTCCATTCTCCCCCTTCTGCTTGGTCTGTATAATATAACTGTTACTGACTAGCACCTTTTTTTTTCTTGATTTTTATCAGTGTTTCCAAAAGCCATAAAGTTGTCCTTTGAAATGATTTTCTTTATGTCCAGTCTGTGATTCTGTAATTTTTGCCAGGGGTTGTATGTATTTTCAATGCAATTATAATGGGCATCAATTATTCACAGCTTTTCATGGACGAGCCTGATCCCTATCGCGAGGATCCACTTTATGTGTATTTTTATGGGACAGTGGCACTCGTGTTCAAGAGGGAACTAGAAACAGTCCCGAGAACTGTGTGTGGCCTTGCCACATTTGCACAGATTCCTGCAGAAAATGGAAAGATTGGTCATGGAGGAATCTCTAAATAGTGAAAGAGTGAAACAGTGAAGGATGATCATACATACTAAACATAATGACCCAAAGTTATACAGAGTTCAGAGGGTGCCTTGCAACAGGTAGAAGACCTGCATCCAAGGAAAAAAAAAGGTACCTGCAATGGAGGAAATGCAGTATATATTTCCCTTTTCTCTGAAACAACAATAAAGGATTAATCACCCATGTATTAATATCAGACAAGAAAAAAATCTGTACTTCACAATTTGCTCAAGACAATTATTACAAAGATATTCCACATCTACCCAAAACAAAGTCATACAGACCTTGTAATTCTTCAGCAGATGTCCCGAGATGTTCTTCCAAAATTGTTGTCACGCGAAATGTCACTCTGTCACTGGCGTACACACTTCCATTATGAAGCGCAACTCCTAACTGCTAATCTACAAACTGCTTGTCTGCAATCGCAAAAAAATGTCATTTGTTGTTGTTTGTTGTACTGGCATTCTCATATCGTAAAAAAGAATTTTTAGGTCATGTCAGATTTGTTTGATTGATAGTTGACCTGAAATGCACATCTGTGTTTGCACCAGGTGCAAGCTTTCACTATGACCTACTTATTTAATACAACACAATACAATACAATATATCTTTATTGATATAGCGCTTTCACAACAGCTGCAGCTATAACAAAACGCTTTACAGGACAGTTAACATAAAATAACGGTAATATAACAACACATAATGTCAGACGCGGACAGTCGTGCAATCTTAACCACTTTTCCTGCATACACTTTGTTGTTTGAAGCAGTTATAGATGGAAAAAGGAGAGAATCAAAGTGTCCTTTCACCAGTGGATCAGAGACATCATGATCACTGCGCGCATGACGTCGCACATGTCGGCTACAAGCTAAATTTGAAAGTAAACAAGAAGCTGTAGCGTCCATTGACGAGTAAAAAGATTAGTTCACTTCACCCGTCTCATGTAAATCCGCTTCAATTACAAGCAGAAACTCTCAGTTCTAAATACACATCTGCGCTCCGCGCCAACGCCCCTCTCTCAATGTCACAAAACGGACTGTAAATACAGTGGACCCTTGCTATTCGTGGCGAATATCAAAAATCCCCTAAGAATTGACACTCATCATTGCAGTACTTAATTTCCCCCTGAAAAATATGAGAGAGGGATCAGGAAAAGGATAGTGTGAACATACAGGGGGGTTCTATGATTTACGGCATATAGGTTCCACAAAACAAAAACAAAAAAATCTGCAAATGCCAAATAACTGAGATATGATGAAATAATGATGATCTGATCTCAAATTACTCAGTTACCCTTTCGTGAAATCTGCTTAGTTGAACACAAAACTGTTGTTTTGTTGTATAAATGGCGACAGGTGGCTACACAGCTTAGTTTCACTTTCTGCCATCTGATGAAGAGCATTTACCGGTAAATGTTTTGTCTGTCACTATATGTCACTGGCATAGATAAATGGGCATATGATATGTTGATTGTAAAATATATTTTACTTTTATACCTATTAAGTGAAACTGGATAATGTAATGATCTCTTGTGATCTACCGATGTGCCACGGCACAGTGGTCGGGAGTTACTGCATAAGAATCTCAATTCTTGAAGGTCGGTAGCCTACTGCTATAAATGTCTGATGGCTTTATTGTGTTTTCATTCCTTATTTATAGCACTTGTTGTTTCCATGCCTTCTATTGCACTGTCGCATGCCAGCTGCCACATAGTCAGCAGATTGCAATGAAGCTATCTTGCGTGCCTTGTGTGTGTGTTTACAGTATGTTTGTATGATGTTTATAGCCTATGCTGGGGTAAAAACATTCCCTTCTCAAAATTTGAGCTCATACACTCCTTGACTCTCTGCGTCATGTCTATTTCGAGCTCTCCTGTAGTTGGTCTCACATTCTCACCATCTTGCTCCAAAGCTCAAATACAGGGACATCCAACACAAGTGATCAGAAGACACTACTTGGAGGACAAACGCTGATGGAATCATGTGGTTTTTGATCCACGGTTTCTGGTAGAAAAGTCGAGTCCTCCGTAAAATGGCTTCACCGAATTGCTCAACTCCTTCTCCCTCCAGCTCAGATGACAAGATGCTTGATTGTACGCCGGCCCCGGACTCTTCTCGGTACACATCCCACAGGACAAAGCAAGGTGGGATCGACAGCTTGTGCTACGGGCTCAGTGTGGCATGGCACCATCTGAGGCCGTTCATCCCATTCTTCCTCATTTGTTTCCTGGTGGTGGCCCTCATCTACCTGATGCAGGCCATCATCTACGGGGGTCCATTCAAAGACCCACACTTCTTTGTCAAGTTCAACCAGCGCTGGCCCAGGCCTACTCCGAATCAACCGGACACTTTTTCGCCAAAATAGAACGTTTCCCCCAGCAACGTCTCCTCGCAGTGGACTTGCATGGACGGGTAGATTGTGACTCGGATATCAACAGGTTCTCACCAGAGAATACGATACCATTTTGTTGTGTATACTATTCACTTGTGTTTTTCCTGTCATTGTTAGTTGACTGAGGAATCCAAAGTTATGATTTACTTTGCAATTTTTGTACTGGTTGTCAGAGTGTTAAGCCTTTAGCAACGAGTGCAAAAGAGTTACATTTGATATCTCCTTTGGGCCTTTTTCAACAAAAGTATGTTTTTACCTGTATTAAATGGTTGTGATGTCAGTTAATGTTAAAATAATGAAGAAGAAGAAAATTTACATTTTCAAAATGTATTTCAATGGTTTGGGGGACATAAAATAACCAATTTTTTTCATAGCTGATTGTTTTTTCAGTGCATATTGCAGAAAAATGTGTAGGGTGCATATCTTTATTGGAGTTGGACAATAATGGGTTATACATGTTCAATTGTTCATTTGAAAACATGGTCAATCAAACGGCCACGCTGGGATCTGGTCCTTAAAACTGATACCTGTGTTTGCTTTCTGAACGTGCATTACCGAATGGTTGAGCTGGTTGTTAAAAGGTTAAGAGAAAGAATCTTTATGTTTATTAGATTATGATACACACCCCTGTTAACAATCACACTCCTTTTTCATCACCCTTGTTAACATTCCATTCGGGCTGGGTATCGATTCAGATTTTAAAAATCTATTTGATTACTGGAAGATTCATGAGGGCTCAATTTGATTGGATTTACGATTCAGTTCAGGATTTTTTTGTGCTGTACCAATTTGACTTTAATATGGACAGCGTTCTCAGAAGAAGAATGCTGCAAGTAGTAGAAACTCCTTGCTTTAACATGGGACAGTTGTAAAAATATGAATATTTACATTCAGAATTTAAACCAATGGATGAACATTAATCATGTTTGTTTTATTCAACATGTCCTGATGAACACAATAAAGAATTTAACTCAATTCCAACCCCAGGGCAAGCTGTGTAAAGTGGCAAAAACACACTGTAAGTTCATGACACGCACATTCCTGTACTGTCTCACAAAGTTTCTGTTCTATGTTGCCTTTGTGTTTTTTTTAAAACCAACATACTTCTGGACAACTGCCTCTGAGCTTGTTGGCGCTAATTTCAGTGCTTCTGCCATGTTGTTCTGATCACATAGTGACGAAATTTTGCATAACGCAAGATGTCACATACATTTATGGGGAAAAAAGGTGTATTAAAATGATCGATTTATGGTTTTATTCATCATGAAAATGGAAATGAAAATCCATTTTTTAAAGCCAGTCTCACATTCCATAATTTCCAGTCATTTGTTGAGTTTTGTGTGGTTGCAGGCATGAATATTTTCATTATCCATACCATAATGGTATGGATATTACCATTGCTTTTTCCAATGAATGTAAGATTCAATATGAAAACAAAAAAAGAAATTCTAAAATTGTGAGTGCATGCTTTTCAGTTTATCGTGACAAGATATTCTCCTGAGACTAAATTCTCCTGAATATTCGTACTTATCTTTCCCAATTAGTGGCGTTTTTCTTTATTTTGTGGAGTTTGTATTGGAGACTTCGGTTTCACACAGAAAAAGTAATTGTGTAATTTAGATTTTGTCTATTTCATTTTTATTTGAATTATTTTCATTTTTGGAGCATTTCTGCAGATGAATTGAGATTTTGTATTAAATAGTGAACACCTGCTCTTGCACGTTCTAGCAGATAAGACGAAACGTGTTTAAAGAAGGAACCGACTTGTTTGGATTTTTACTGTGTCCTTGGCTTTACCTCTCGTCTCTTGCATGGTCACAGTGTCTCCGCTACTACCATCCAGTGGTCAAGATGTGAAAACTCATTGGAACACAAACGGTGCCGTTTGGAGAAATGGTCCTTAAAAACAGTTTTTGTTTGATAAATTTTGAGTAATGTGGCGTTCCAGTGAGCTTTGAGCAAGGTGAGTGCTCTCGCAACTTTTACGTTTGTCGTCTTCAATGTGTCATGCATAGGGAAGCTAACAAGAAAATGAGAATTAAGTAGGTCACATTTCTTGTCCAGGTTGTTTTAAATTAAAGTCGAATTTATGCAGTGACTAGTTAAGAGAGTGATGTAACGACATGCGCGAGTTGCATGCTCGTTTGGTGAGCAACGATGCTAATAGCTATTTTGCCATAAATAACGTTGAGATTTTTTTTCTTAAGTCATTCCCGCGCTGAAACATTTTTTCTTATTGCCAATTTTATGTTGTCAGTCTTCAATTTAAAAACTTCGTCGACGTTAAAACGCAACTGTAAATACAATGTTTGGTAGTATGATTTATCTCTATCTAGCTTTATTTTTTTCTTCTTTTTTTAAAGATACATTCATCACAGTACTGTGCTTAATTCGTTTAAGGAGCATGCGTCTTTAAAGACTGACAAGTTACTGCAACTTTTGCGTCTTTGCGCAAGTCAGAATAGGTCATTTAGGATTTTCGACAATATGACACTCCGATGCTGGTTTTCTAGGTTGAAGTGAATACTTATTAAAAGCGTCCACACAAACAAATAAAATAATCAATTTTTTTTGTTTTGTCCCGAGAAGATTTTATAGCAGCGCTCCAATCTAACTTTTTTTCTTTTACTTGTAGCGCAGTAGCCTTGAACCTAATATTTTAGGGACGCAAGTTGAAAATTGACTTAGACTTGCTTATTAAATATTCATATTTCCATTCATTTTCACTCTATTATTGATAAATAGGCTGAAGGGTAGAGCAGAGGTTTGTTAGCAACAAAAAATATTCAATAGTAATAATAACAACAAAAATAAATCAGAATTACTGGTTGCACAAACGCGATTATTTGAAAATGTAATTGCACTCATTCTCACATTTGAGATGCAAAATGTCAACATTTAAGGGCATTTTGGAACCCAGTTCATAAGAAGTATACTCTGAACGGAAAAAGAGCAATACAGTCAAAAGTTTGTGGACGCAACTGCTCTTTCAGACTTTTAATGTATTTATACACATGAACAAAATTGTAACTTTGTGTTAACGAAAGAAAATCCACAATACACTGAAATAACTGGAATTTTCCAAAATGCATTTTGACAAGTCACAAAACTTCAGAGGAGAGAGATAAAACTGGAGCTTTTTTGTTAAGTCACATTAGCTAAATTTTTATGAGATGCAAAAATTTAGCATAGTAATAAAAAAATTAAAAAAACACGGAGGAGCATACTTTCTGCTTTGCGACATCCGGCACAGGGTGTTGAATCTGGGCAGGATACAATGACATACTGTATAACAACTAAGGCATTCTGGTTCAGAATGTGCCTTTCCAAGCTGTCTTCAGGGAACAGGTGGGGTACACCCTGAACTGGTTGCCAGCCAATCGTTGGGTGGATAGATACTGTATTGACAAACAACCATTCACACTCACAATTACACCTAGGGACAATTTAGAGTGTTCCATTAACCTACCATGCATGTTTTTGGAAAGTGGGAGGAAACATCCAGGAAAAACCCTGAAAAACCCCAAGGTGACACGGGGAGAATATGCGAATGCCACACAGCAAGGCCGGAGACGGGATGCGAACCATGGATGTCTGCATTGGGAGACGGACGTGGAAACCAGTCCGTCCATCATGCCGCCTTTTATTTTATTTTAGTTATTTATTTTGTTCGTAAAATCAGTGAAGGGAGTTGGAAAGCATGAAATTTAATCTGATAAAGTTTTGATATCTGACCATGGAACAAATGTTTTAAAATTCAAAATAATGCCTTAAATAGTGTAATTTTTAAAGGAATAACGAGGCGTACAAGTGAATATTCACCTTCCTGTTTTTTTCCTGTTCCAGTTGATGGGAAGATGTGGTGCTACCAGAAGCCAGGATTTGAAGCCCTCCTCGTGGCCGCGTTGCAGAGACAGCAACAGCACCGACAGTTCTGTGACACCTTGCTGCAGGCAGAAGGTAATTAATGTCGATAAAAGATATTCTCAATGAATTACAATAACAACATTTAGAAGATTGGCGTATCGTACAATTTGGCGCTGATCCAAATTCGTGGTGAAGGTTTGTCCTCTACCAAGCGACTGAGATAATTTTAGCTGAAAAATTAACAAATAGTATAGATTAAGATGATCGTTTGCATGGAAACCATAACTTTGATATAGGCTGTGTTTGGCACCCCTGCCTTAAGCGATGAATTACCATGACCATACTTGGCCCACCCTTGATGGAATCCCTTGTCCCTCCAGGTGTTTCTGTGCCAGCACACAGTTGTGTCCTTTCGGCCATCAGCCCTCAGCTCTCGACTGCTCTGTCCTCCTCACCGGTGCCGCCAGCTGGACGAGAGCATCTGCTGAAATTTGGGACTGTGGGCGCCAGAGCTCTGCTTCATGTGGTCAGACTGTTGTACTCGGGGGAGATGGCCGGAGAGGGGGAGAGTGAGAAGCACGAGGCTGTATCGGCAGCAGCCAAGTTGGGCATTCTGGGGCTGGTGGAGGTCACACGGAAGCAGGGGCAAGGCCGCACGGGCAAGGAGGTGGGTGTACAGACTGATCCAGTGGAGCTCAGCGAGAAGGAATTCATCTGCTGGAGGGGAGAAGTGCGTGCCGGCAGTGCTATTATATGGAACGAGACGCTGTCAAGCGGCAAAAAAGACGCAATGGCTGAAACAGAAGCGATGCAAGCAAGCTCCACGTCCTCTTGTAAATCCGTACCTGCCTATGAGACAATTGACATGGCTCAGTTAAAGAGTTTAGGTCAGGCCGACAATCATGCTGTCCTACCAAATGTTCCGGCTCCACTCATTTACTTGCTCGATGAAGCTCGAAATCTTCAAACTTCTCTGGAGGCTGAACACTCAGACACCCCGCGGGTTGTTGACTCCCAGAGCAACCCTCAGGCAGATGCCAGAGCTTTAGAGGGTAAAAGAGCGGAACTTGAGCGGTTTCATGATGACATCCCAGGATTCATCAACCACTTTTTCAACCCGAACTCTGAAGAGGCGTTGCACACGGGGCGAACTAAGAAGAAGCCGCCCGGCAGAGCCAAGCGGCGTGGAGGAGGTGAGAGACCAGCCCGGACGCCGCAAGCTCGCAGAGGAGGAAGGAGGAGAGGCGGGTGGACGCAGACGGTGGACGTACAGGAAGTTGGCGTGAGCGGGCAGCACAAGTCGCTCCTGCAAAGGTGTGGGATGGCAACCTCTATGAGGACAGGCCAAGGTGGAGGAACCGCAGGCAGGAAGTTACATCTGAAGACTCGACACGCTTTGGGATTGCTCTGCAGCCCTCAGAGGAGACGAAGGCGGCCCAGAGTGTGGGACTTTGGCCCGAGTGAACAAAGTCACAACTGGATGAGGGCAGAGGACAACGTGAAACGTCACAGGAGGAACGAAACACTGCAGGATACACAGGTGCTGTGAAGACACACACACACACACACACACACACACACACACACACACACACACACACACACACACACACACACACACACACACACACACACACACACACACATCAACATGGGAGATGTTAAACCAGCAAAGAGGGGACTAGCTCAGATTTAGGCAAAATATGGGCGGTGTGCTGATTCATACTTTTTAATAAACGTTTTATCTCATTAAATAATTTGTGATTCATGTTGATTTAATGCAAACACCTTTTAAAAACCAGTAAAAGAACCGTTTCTTGTGCAGATATACATTTGAAATTCATTAGAACTAATTAATTAATTATAATAAGATTATTTATAAAGAATACCATACAAAATTAACAGAAATTATTATTTTTGAAGGGTTTTAAATAGTTTTATATACAATGTTCATCCTCGTATTTTTTGCCCATTGGCAGATTTTATAGGGGAACCTGTCCTCCCTTATTTGATGAAAACAACAACATGAACAGTACCAAAAAAAAAAAAGGATTGCTTGGGTGCCATTTTGTGGCATCTTAGTGCCAACTACCTTTGCCAATACAAAAATGATGCTTTGCCTCCGTCTTGTGGTATCCAAAGGCAATTAAAATGGGAGCATCAATTGTGTATTTTCATATGTGGCAGGCTTCAGTCGGTTTCTCCCCCGCAAATAGTCGGGGAACACCGTACACAATTTCACACTTCATCTAAGACGTATCTGGCCCATTTTTTTTTTTTTTTATGTAATCTGGCCGTTGACTTCAATGGTTTGCCAATTCCCGGGCTAGATTTTCCACCATTTTCACTTCGTGTAGATGTTACAGAAAGGTGTCCTGTTACTTGTATACATAATACCTTTAGTATTTACTCACTGGCCAAAACATTAGGCAAATGTGTATGTTAAACAGTACTGACAAAAAGTTGGGTAAAAATTGTAGAATGAATCTAAAATGCTTTATAACCTTGACAGGTGAACGGACGATAACCTTCTCAAAACGTTTCGAATATATGTGTCCAATGTGCTGTAGAAAATGCATTTCTAACAACCTTCTTTTGCTAGGTGTCACACACTGCCCCTCATCCTTCCCCTGCGCCTCATGTGGACCCGCCGGAGCGCTTTGGTTGTCTCTTTGGCGAAGTGACGAATGACATAGAGGTTGAATTGAGCAGCAGCGCTCCACACTCCCAGCCACCTGTAGCGGCCCAGAATTGCAGTGGCACCATCGCCTCTCGTGGTGGTAACACTGACAATCCTGCTCGCTCATGTATTCATGGCTTCACGGAGGTTGTCACTACGGGACGAACAAACGGCGAGGCAGTGCTTGTGGAGCCACAGGTGGAGGTAGATCTGAGAGCTTTGTTGGAAGACTTCCTGCAGTCCTTCGAGCAACACGGTAACAACTGTGTTAGCAGCGAGACACAAGAGGTGCAAGGTGGCAGTCACTTTCATCACCCACAGCAAAGACGAGATGAAACAATGTCCTCACACTCCATTACGAGAAGAGAAACTTCTCTCAATAGCACAAGGAGAGTTAAAGCCACGAGAAAGCGCAGAAGAAAGAAACAGCATCCTGTACAAGCAAAGGAGCAGATCCATGAGTCAGTGAAGAACGTAATAACTAAAATAGATGATGGTCGAGGAGACAAGAGCTTGCAATGCACGCCTATGGTGGAACTAAATAGGTGCAAATCTCTGGATCCAGCCAGCTGTCAGGCAGTCAAGGTGGCCACTGGGCTCAACTAATATATATATACAGGTTGTCTCAAAAACTCACTCTTTGACTAGACGTGTCACTGACATCGGTAGAAGTCTCATGAGTTACACAAAAGAAAATGCTGCAGCTGTCGTGAAAGCGTGATATAAATAAAATGCATTCAATTTAAGTTTTGTACAGTGTATCCCGACCTTTATTGAATCATGAGAAAAATCTTACTTTCGCTATGCTAAAGGAAAACAATAGAATACAGCCTTATTTATATTGAACTTTCACAACCGCTGCAGCTGTGACAAGGCGCTTTACAGAGCATTTAAAATACTACGTCCGAGAAATCTGAATATTGATCGGATTATAAGGCGCACTTTCAGCTTTTGAGAAAATTGAATGATTTTAGTTCGCTTTATAGATAGTGCGGAAAATACGGTAGTTTCAATTCAGTCACAAATCGATTACTCAGTGTGAAATCTGGTCCTTATTAATTGAACGCAAAACTAATATACTAATACAAGCCGAACGTCACTTCATTCCTTCTTTGTTGTAGTAATCCCAGCAACTCAAGTTAATTGTACATTTTCCATTATTTAGGATATTTTGTACTTGAAATAATACTAAAGAATGAACATGTAATAGGCAGTCAAAGAGTGAGTAAATTTTTCCGACATACTGTGTATACAAACCTATATTCATCTTCATTTTCATGTGAAAAATGTTCTGTTTATTGATCAAGATGTGATTCCTCTCTAGAGTCCTCCACGTCCAAAGACCAAGTCATCACCAAAGCATCAGCCTGCCTCCGTTATTGGAAAGCGTTATCCGCTCAGGAGTAGATACAAGGTGAGTTGTCTTATCATTTACTTTTACCTGTGCGATTGCAATGAATGAATGGTCGAGTAAGTGATGTTTTGAAGGGACAGCCACATAAAGAGTGCACTGGAGTACATTGTTTGAGTCAAGGCGTATATTTTACATGACAGCACACTACCCAAACAAAAATGTCACAAAAGGAAATATATACGTTGAAGTCACCCAAAGTTCTGCAAGTATTTGATGCGCAGCCAAAAACGGTTTGTCATTGCCTCAAAGCCACAAGATGGTGCCAAAGCACTTTTCTTTGAGACGCAGGACAAATGCACCTTCTGCTCTCTTAAGTTTGGTTTCTGCTGGACACATCTGTGAGGTCTGCATGGAGAAATCACGGCATTTCAGCAACCACGTCCCCGCCGCACGGTGTTCGCATAACCCGAATTTTCCACATAGCGCTGCTACAAAAATTTGGAACCACACAGACCGTCCCGTTCAGAATAAAAATGGTGGATAAGCTACAGTTGTTGTAAACAACAGTGTTTTCTACACTAGTATTTTCAACAGTATTTATTTTGTTAAACGTATGTAGACTGCTACCCTTATATTTTGTATCGTTCCTGTAAATTGTTGTTTTCAGTAAAGTCTATGTATTAATAAAGCTGTGTTTTCTACTTTGATAATAGTGCAGTGCTGTTCGTTGCTGCAGTGTAGACGCTCTACATCAACACCTATAGACTGCGAGAATCTTGGCTAACAGCGAGGGCAAACTGTACATAGTATAAATGCTGCAAAAGTTGTGTCGCCTGATTTCATTTCCATGTGGAACATACAGTACATGTGTCAAGCGTAAGACAAGCTTGGGCGGAAGAGCATTAGGTTGTTTAGCCTCTTGCTACATGTCACTGGCATATCTCGATGAACAAATATATCTAAGTTAAGTCAAACATTTTGCAATAATATGTTTCATGCAGCCCCTCTAATCTTAACACAATATTCTGATTAATATTGCGTTTGTGCAAGATGAACTAAGCAGCAACATGCACCCGTTTTTATCCATGTCAGGCGGTGGCCATTTTGTCATGTGTTGTCGACCGAAAATGACATCAGAGTGTCGTAAGGGCTCAGCTTGCGTATGTCACATGACCAACCCCAGAAAACAGGTGATCCTTGATTGGTTGTTCGTTGAGCCCTTCGGCTTGGGCAATGCGGATTTTACCATGTGTTGTCATTTTTAAACTTTGATGTTTCGAAAAAAAAAAAAATGACACCTATTGCTGAACCAAACCTTTAATTCATAAGTATTACTAAATACAATATGTCACTATATTACACATTATGTTATTGTTATGATATTCTTATTGTGAAGAAGATGAAAACGTGATGTGCTCGAGAAAAAAATGAGAGGAGATTCAGAATCAACGCAAACGATTCATCTCTGATTTTAAAAAATGAAGTAAAAATTTGTGGACCAGTGCAACTTTCAGACCACTTAAATAAGTGATTTTCCTGACATTCTCTCATCAAAAGGATCAGCCACACCTGGAAAAAGTATGGTCACAGTTGGACCAACCAGTCGGTAAGCGAGGACGAACCAAGAAGACGACGCGGCTTCCCTGTGAAGTTGATGGTGACGCACTTGAGGTGGTTGAAGACAGATGCAAAAACAATGCCACTGTGGAGGAGGCAGCGACAAGGGCGGCAAAGAGGCGAGCCCAACCCGAAGAAAAGATGAGAGATTTCAGCAGTGAAGCCAAGAGGAAACGTTTGGAGCCAATTGTTCTGCTTCCTGTGAAGTTGTCTGTTGAGCCCACCGCGCTGGCCAACACAGGAGATAATGTATGCAAAGAAGAGACGAGGGTGGCCGAGCAAAACAAAGACCTTGACACCATGAACGCAGGTGCTGATTCAGACTGCACGGAGTATGTAGAAAAAGGAAGCTGGCAAAACAGGGTGACTCTGCCTGTATCCAAATTCATCGGTGGCATCCTGCGAAGGCCGCATGACGTCACTTACGGCGCAACTCGACTGCACGTGGTTTCCAAATTCTAGAAAGACAGTTTGTAGGTTGGGTCCTTCGACGCCTTCAAAGCCTCCTCCTCATGTAGCCTTCATGGATACCATGGCGAATTTGGACAAGTTTATGTGAATTTGGACACCATGTGCAGTCGAGTCGCGCCTGAACTAACATCACGCGGCCGAAAATGTGGCAGGCCTGTGAATTTGGACACAGCCACAATGTGTTTCACTACCTTTTTTTCTCTTCAACAGAGGTTAGCCTGGGAACAGGAAGTGAGGAGGACATCGACGTGATGGGAGCGTTGGGATCCATCCCTGATCCAGTAAGCATCACCTGGTCACTGTCTTCAGAGAGCGAGGAGAAGGAGGAAGCAGATGAGGAGATCGACGTGGTAGGAAGGGCAGACTTGACTTCTTCGCCAGTGGCCTTCACTGTGAGCAATGCTGTGAACAGGATGTGTCATGGTGAGGTACACGGACGCTAGTTTAGTTCATATCAGTCCTCCACACCTCTGAGGTTTGAGTTGAATTGGTGACACTGGTGGAGTTTCATAAGGATACGAACAGGATCAGTTTTCATCATGTTTATTATTTGGATAGTATCACACCTCACATATTTCAGTAGAACTACTTTGTCAGGTGTTTGCTCTCCGGTTGACCAGCTGGATGATTACTCGCTGGCATGTTCAGTCGCTTGTTCTGCATACAAGGAAAGGTTGACACTGGTGATACTGTTTAGAAGTTGTTCATTTGTTGTGAATACAATTGCCTCAGTTCAATCCACAGCCATTTTGCTACAATAAAACTTAGTTTTGATTTCTCGTGCTTGGTTATATAACCGCATGCCACAGAGAAGAGTGATACATTTGTCAATATCTGTGAACCCCCCCACTTCCTGAAGACGGGCCGGATGTCTAGCTATCTATCCTTCCATTATCTGAAACACTTTATCCTCATAAGGGTCTTCGAGCAGCAGGCAGGGTACACCCTGAACTGGTTGCCAGCCAGTGTATGTGGCAAGTATTTCAGGAAAAGAAGTAGAACGTTACACATATTTGAAGTGAAAATGACTTTATTTGCTATCAACCTGCTGTGAGTCGACCGCCACACAAAATGGGCACACTTGGAACTGCGCCACAACTTCGAAATCCCCCTCCAGGTGGCCTTCAATCGCAGCTCAGTGTGTGTCTTTGTGAGGTGGGCCCTCGAACCAAATAAAAAGACACCTTACCCCGGGTGTCCTCCATGTCGCCATGTGTGTGTGGATTGTAGAGGTCCCTGTGCTTTAGCAGTGCCATATTGTCTCTAATCACACTCATCTGTGAAACAGCATTAACAGGAATGAAGAGGAGACAGAAGGAGTCGATCATAGGTAGAAAGGAGCTGTCGTGTCAGACTTGCTGTCCTCCTCTCAGTGCTGGATGCGCCTGATGGACTGGATCTGGGGAGTTTGGCAGTGGGAGCCCCAGGTTTTGCAATGCTGGTACTCCCCACTGTGTCTCTCGGACTCCATGATGTACTGCTGGCCCCTGTAGCCAGGGAACTGGTAGCACACAAAGCTGCGGGAGCCAACAAATCTTTCGTCAAACAAGTCAAACTTTGACATCTGGATGGATCAAATTGAATTTGATCATCACAGAAAAGTCTTCCGACACCGTAGACCAGGCATGTCCGGCTCCGGTCCTCGCGGGCCTCTGTCCTGCCTGTTTTCCATGGCGCCCTGCTGAAACACACCTGATTCATATGATCAGCTCATCAGCAAGCTCTGAAGAAGCATGAGAACGATCCTCATCATTTGAATCAGGTGTATTGCAGCAAGGACAGATGGAAAACGGGCAGGAGAGCGGCCCTTGAGGATCGACTGTGGACACCCCTGCCCTAGACAGACAGATCCATCTACAGATGGATGGCTGGATGGATGAATGGATGGACGGAGGGATAGATAGCTAGATAACGTTTCTATGTTGATCTATCTGTGCCAATGACCTAAGGTGACTAGAGAATAGCTTTGTGTTAAACTACACAAGTCCGGATTTTACACTGAGCAAATACATTATTGAGTAAATTGAAACAGGGTCATCGTTTCATTGTACATGTATTTATATTTTTTGTAACATTTGTATCCGGTGGTCTGCTGTGAGATCTTTCTCATTGAAAAAAACCTAGGCTCAATAAAGGTTGGGCAGCACTGATCTAATTTAACTTGCCAAGACAGCTCTAAAGTGTAAGGCCTATCTTTATGATGGGTCGGCAGAAAGAAAGTCACATGTTTGGAACTTGCTTGCCATGTAAAAGGCCAAATGATTCAAGTAGGGCAGCCGTGTTCTCCGCGGGGAGGCTCACCTTCTCAACTTCAACTTTAGATTGGGAAAGAAAGCTCTCTGGGAAGGTTTGTTGGGGTCTGTGGAATTTCACCAGGTGCATAGACTTACGCGCCACACTGCACCTGCATGGAGCCCACTTCAGGCGTCAGCCAGCCCATGGCCTGCAGAGAGGGGTAGTCATCACAGACCTCTACGCTGAGGCCCATGAAATTCTCCTTCTCAAAGATGATCATGCGGCTGCTCTGGTGAGACTGGAAGAAGGTAGCTGATCTTGGATTAAGAGGAACTGCAGCGGCGTAAATTCTGAGGCTATCGTGTACTTACAGCGCAGTGGATGGGGCGTAGAGACATGAGACGTTCGACGTGGTAAGAGAGGGAGCCGCTGTAGGAGTCCCAGTGGGGGTATTCACCTCTCTCAAGGATCAACTGCTGGCCTTGGAAGTCATGGTGCTCAAAACCGACCCAGCTTCACAAACAGATAAAGGACACGTGACGTGACGTGACTGTTCTTTCAGTGAAAGATGTGGTAGAACCTAATGTACAGGGCAGCCATTGGCACTTGCATTTACAACCTTCCATGATCCTAATGTGCTTTTTTGGTTTTTTTTTGTGAACATGAGAGGAAGCTGAAAGAGCTGGACAGAACCCACTCTGGCACACAACGAATAGGCAAACTACCCTGATCATAACCTGAAGGTAACTATTCTTTAATCATAAAATTGTACGACTACAGTATCTTGGTTTGCCAGGTCAGACACTGGCAGAACACTGCAAACGGAATCATGTTTTCTAATCGTTTTATTTTTGATCATTGCTATTAATTACTGAACCTTCTTGCGGTGCGAACCACTGTCAGGTACTGGTTTACTTTAGTGCACAATGTACAAAGTTCCATGAAAATTCTCCTCATGACGGAATTCACGAACATTTAAAGGTGCAAATCCTAACAGGGATGATTTCTGTCGAGGTGCCAAAATGGCCAAAAGACTTACGCGCCACTCTCTACCCTGATGGAGCGGATGTTGTCCAGACCACACTCCTGGATATTAACACACTCTGAGGTGAACTCCAGGCACTTGCCCTGGAAATGCTCCTGCTCGTACACAGTCACCTGTCAAGGCAACACGAGGTAAATGTCAATGCCAACTGTAAAAAAAAAAGTCTCTGGTGTTACCTTGAAGACCGGCGCCATGCCCGTTCCTGAGTTGGACAAGGGTTGCATCAGTGGGGACCTGGTCGTTCTGAACATCTTTACGCCTCATGCATGGTGAAGACAAAAACATGGACTTTTGAGAGAATGACTTAGTTATAATACTGTGAGCAAAAACATCAATATATTTTGTAGTTCGTCCTTTATTCCGTGCATACTATTCTCTAAACACACTGTGCTTGTAGTTGGAGCAGAGACAGGACCTTACCTACTTTATTTTGGGGAAGAGCTCTGGAGTAGAACGCACCTACCGCCTGCCTCGCGCAGAGTTTTGGGAGGACCTGGCGCTTCAATTTTATATATGGGCAGTCAGGTCATGCATGGTGGGTGAGGGATGGTGTATGGGCGGGGCTCTCCTGCAGCTGCACGTTCCCGCAAGGCCTCGCCCACTCTTGCACGTTTCGCAGCCCGCAGAGAGGCGCGCCCCCAGGACACCGGGGGCCGGCTGTGACCAGGTCAGCACATATCATAGTGAAGAGACAATGACAGTCCGGTATGTTCGGACCCCGCTCAGCAGTCCAGCACAAAGGATGACTGATAAAGGCGGAGAGTGAGCGGATTAACAGGGGACCACAAGGTCACCACTAAGAGCCCGGAGGCTATTCACGACCATAGGATGGAAATGTGTACAATTTACAAAACATTCAACTTGGTATCTTATCAGATTGATTAATCCCTGTTGAATGCAGTGGCTTTATGTCGAGCGGTGTAACCTGTTTAATGTAAATATTACACAGCTACTACATCATTAGAAAGCTTATTATGTTTAATATTTTATCAATACGATGTGTCCCAAAACTGCTTTCAAGTCTTATCATTCGCATTTTCAAACCTTTAGCCAGGTGTGTCCAGTGTATTGGTCCTATTGGTTACTGGATATTTCCCACCCCGCTGCAGTGGCTCCGCCCATATTCTCTCCGTACCCCTTTGATGATGTGGTCTTTTCTTTTGTGTCACGTCTCTGACCTCAGCATGTTCGTTTCTCTCGCCTTAATCCCTCTCCTGTTGGCGCCAGGGTATATGAGGGAGGGGTGCACCCGGGCCGCACACATTCTTTGAGTGAGGCTCAGCGTAAGCATCAGGTAAGGGGCACGCGTGCACAGCGCCCACACCCTGTGGTGTGGTATGTGGACAGATTACGGTGATTTTGAGAGGCTGGATAATGTAACTCTGTCCCTTCTTTTCGGACCCAGCAATCATGTCTAGTGACAAATCCAAATCCTCGTCCCAGACTGATGGGAAGGCCGCGCAGAGCAAGAAGTCAGAGATCAGTCTGACTTCCTACAAGGTGAGGACCTCTCTCACATTAACTTCTCCAACGGAAAGTGAAAAATGTGATTTTGTGTTGCTTCTTCTAGATGTTGGTGTTTGACCAGGAGAACTTCCAGGGCCGCATGATCGAGATCAGCAGTGAGGTGTTGAACATCTGCGACCTGGGCATGGAACGTGTGCGCTCCCTCCGTGTCGAAAGCGGCCCGTAAGTGCCCCCCCCCCCCACCCCGACTTCTCTGTCAACTTCTGTGTTTGCGGTGGCGGCCTACATAATGCCATTTGATTGGCAGCTTCGTGGGCTTTGAGCAGATAAACCTCTGTGGTGAGATGTACGTCTTGGAGAAGGGCGAGTATCCTCGCTGGGATTCCTGGAGCAACTGTCAGAAGAATGACTACCTACTGTCCTTCAGGCCTGTTGGAATGGTAAGCAAAAATAATCAAATAAAAAAATTCGCTTACTTTTTGGGTTCCCCTTGTCAGCGAGCCACCATTGCTGAGCTTCTCTGGGTCTTTCACAACAGGACCCCGATAAACACAAGATCTGCCTGCACGAGTTGGGAGAGTTCAAGGGCCGCAAGATGGAGATTATGGATGATGACGTCCCCAGTCTGTTCTCTTATGGTTTCACTGACAGAGTTGGCAGCATCATCGTCAGCTGCGGAACGTGAGTGTAGCTCACAGTGGAATCTTGGAAGTCAGTTACCGGCCGTCGCGTTTCCATTGTTCACTTCTGTTTTTTTTTTTCTTCCTCAGCCTTGTGGGATATCAGTTCCCTGGCTACCGTGGTAGCCAGTACCTGCTGGAGAAGGGCGAATACAAGCACTTTAACGAGTACGGCGCCCGCACCCCTCAGCTGCAGTCCGTGCGCCGTATCCGCGACATGCAGTGGCACCAACAAGGCTGCTACACCTTGGCCAGCAAGTGAGGCTCGGGGAAGGAGAGAAAGAGAAAGACCGGAAGTGAGGGAGAGGGGCGTAAGAAGAGGGGAAGGGGAAGAGATGTCTGAGGCCTTACCTGACCACCTTTAACGGCCAAAAGGGGGAAGTGTGAGAGTCTTCTAGACCTGGATCTCATCTCGTGGAACAGACCTCCATTCCTCACTGTCCATTTTTCTCTTTCTCCCCTCTGGGCTGATATTGGTTTCTCCCCTATCTTTCTTTTTTTTTTTTTTATTTGTTGTCCCTATCTTCATTTCCTACAAAGCTCTGATCTGAAGAAGGAACAAGACACATTGCCCTTTTACACAAGATTTGTGGTTCAAGGGAATCTGAGTCTTTAGCACTTCCTGCTCTGGCCCCTGTGCATTGCACACACACATACTCTGCTGTACAGAATCCTGGCCGAGTTTTCAATAAAAGCAATGTTGTTTCAGAAATGTTGTTAGGTGACTTACTTGAAAACCACATCAGGTTCACAAGACTTTATATGCCCAATGTTGAGAAACAGTATAAAGTCAGGAACCACTGTAGTTCTATGTGACCACAGTTGGATCATCTGTTATTGAAACAAATATTTGCCCAATATGCGTTTTATGTTGGTCTATCATCAGTAAAAAGACAATAAAATGTTGAAGATCACAGTAACTCCATCTATATGCATTTGTATTTTTTATTTATTATTATTTTTTTTCAACAAATCATGACAGACTTTTCTTACTAAAAATGTGTTTATTACAGTTTTACAAACATAATATTACACTCAAACATTTGATGGATAAAAAAAAAACCCACCAGAGTTCGCAATGTCATCTTGACTGTTGACATATGCTACTGTACTGTATATGAACATAACTATTAGGACACATGGCCATTACACACCATGAGAAGTGAAAATAAACAATAGAACGTTTATTTGATTTTTTTTTTATGCATAATATGAGATGATGTACTGTATTTGATCACAATATCTGTTCTGTTTTATCCCAGATTCAAGTTCTTTCACACTAAACTCATCCAAGCATATCTTTGGGAACATTGTTATGATCGTTTTTTTTTTTTTAAGTAAAACGTGTCCCAGCACTTTTGCGTGTCTTTTTGTCATACAATTTCTGTCACATTTAATCTTGATTATTATTATTATATTTGTTTTTATACATATAAAAATGGAAAACCATACAGTAGCTACAGAAAATTGAAGATGTGGTGTGATCCCTGGTTTGTCTGTTTAATGCCATTGCTCATGTGGTACACATCACCGGGACATCATTCTCACAAACTCTGAAAGAAGCAAATGAGGGGAAATCAATGGGTCGGGTTTTTGCGACGCAGTCGACTCAAAAGGCAAATAGGACTTAGCGCTCACCCTCAAAGTCCACCAAACCATCTCCATTGAGGTCCACGTCTCTGAGAATCTCATTGATCTCTCTGTTGGTCACTTGTTCTCCCATCAGTTTCTTCATGGCCTCACGTAGCTCCGTTAAACTGATCTGACCGTCACCATTGGAGTCAAACTGGGACCAAAGAGAGAATGACACATGGCATTACATACTGCAGGGAAATTTCAGCAATTGAAAAAAAAAGTTCCATGCATTTACTTTGTGGAGATATAATAGAGACATTTAGGGTCAGCGGCAACAAGTCCAAATCAAACACTGACAACGAACCACCTTATAAAAACAACCCTGGCCCAGTATTGCAGCTACATTAAATATAGAAAATCCAATTTAGGGTGATATCTTCTTTCTACCCACAATCTTGCTGCTGTCGACTGTAAACAAATAAAGGATATCTTATCTTATCACTTTCAATCTGTTTGTCCAGGCAGCTTGCCGTTGCTCAGCCATTGATGCTCGTTTTGAAAAGTTCCAGTTTCTCCAAAATACCCACACTTGTTCCTTGCTAAAGCTGCTAAATCAAATGCCTGTCGGTATGAAAACCACTTTGTGTGAAGGTTACATGTGTACAAAGAGTTCAAGTTTTGCACTATACTATCTGGGAAAAATGTTGCTTATGCTACTGTGTTAGCATTTAATTAGCGCTGTGTTGACATCGTGTGCCTCTCCGGGCGTTGCGGCACATCGAGTTGCTTTGCTCCCGATTCATCCAACAATTTGGTAACAAAGTAGTCTGCACTCAGCGCAAAAAAATCTGCACAAAATAATACAGTATTCATGCCTTTGCAATGGTCTAGTTCAGCGTGTTTGTGAATTTGGTAGAAGTGCTACCCCACTGGGCGTTGCTGCCCTCCCCCCCACCCCTCAGCTAATATTGTTACAAAAACTAGACTAGAATGAAGGTAAAACTGCGTTTAAATCTGTGCACAGGTAGTGTAACGGGATTTTTGTATATTTTATGGAGGCGCTGGTAGATGGATTCGTCGCTCCACGGATCTGTTTGTGTGTGTGTGGTGGACGTCATCAGTTTTCATTCATAATATGAAAACAGCATGGGTCAGTCCCAGTTATAATTAAATTAATTGAGTGGATTATAGTCATTATCATCTTTCAAAGTATTTTAAAAGCATTAACTTAACCGCGCATCACAACTGTGTGGGGGATGCCACACATTATTGTAGGTCATTGCCAAAATTGAACCACCATGTGTGAGCAGGATAGCAGAAATTCCAGACCTCTTTGAATGCATCGCGTAGTTCTTTCACTCCAATCATGTCTGCAGTCTCTGCCAACATTTTGGGTCCCATCAGCTCCACAAAATCCTCAAAGTCCACTTTGCCTCCACCCGTTGGACAGACACATTTGAGACTTTAAGAATGAGTAAAAAAGAAAAAAAAAGTATTCTGCTGAATCTGTGTTTGTGGTCCACTCACAAATCTGCTGACTCAATTCAATGAGCTCCATCTCGGTGGGCATGTATCCCATGGTCCTCATGCACTCCCCCAGGTCTTTGTGGCTAATGTAGCCATCCTTATTCTTATCGAACTCCACAAAAGCTTCACGAAGCTCTGGAGACACACACGTGATAAAAGCGGAAGTCGGGAATGTTATTCTGTTTGATGGAGAAGAAAAAATGTCGTAAAAGAAAAAAAACTCACCGTCCAGCTCTTCTGGTCTCAGCTCTCGGTCCTGTTGGAAGCAATGATGATCAATTGCGTTTGGTTTAAATGTTTGACTGGCTCTCACTCATTCAACAATTTCATGAGCAGGTTTATATGAAAAACATTTAAGACATTTACGTTTTTTATGCGGTGAGGGCAAGGAAACATGAAACAATGACGAGTGACTCTGACCATGAATGGAGTGCCTACATTGGTCTTTATTTTGAATCGGATTTACACTCACCAGCATCTACGTCATGAAAGAATGGAATTAACATCTGCCTTCATGAAGATAAAGCTCCATTTTTAAAAGCAAGATAAGCGCGATATGCACATTTAGTTGAAGGTGGACTTGGATAGTTCTGCACTAAATAAGAGAGCTCATTATTATTACGATTGAGTTTATTATTTTAGATAAGACATATACAGCCGCATCTCAATAAATGAGAATGTCTTGGAAAACTTGATTCATTTCAATAGTTTAGGTTCAAGAAAATGCAAAACATATATAGATTCGCGACACACAAAGAAAACTATTTCATAACTTTAGTTGCTATACTTTGGATGTGAATAGTTTACAGCTTAGGAAAACACAAAATTCACCACCCCAAGAAGTAGTACTGTCTATCCTAAGTCTGTAAACCCAGTCCATCTCCGAAACAGTGCAACAGTGAAACAGTGCATGTAAATGTAGATATGGATTAAATTGTACCCACTGATGATGATGACATAAATTACATGCAGAGCTAACCAGATTACTTTTGCAATGATACCAGGCAACGCACATAGAGATGAGGAGATTTTGTGTGGATATAGACATTAGTTCTTACATTACATACATACATTACATCTTATTATCTTATTAGCGGCCCTTCAGATGCGTTCCACCACAAACTGAGGTATTGCGGCCCGATGCTATATTGAGAACTACGAGGAGACATTAACACACCGATCCCGGTGATCTCTTTTTAACTTCTGGACTGAAACCCTTTTGTTATGCTAAATTCAACACGCAGGAAGTTTTTTCACACATTGCATAAAACTTTTCCAACCCAAATGTAATTTCAACACTCATTGCTGAAAATGACTGAATAAAAACATGAATAATGAGTATTAATTTGATGGACTGAATTGTGTTTAAAGAATGCAATGTTTGTAAACACAACTATAAAATAGGAGGCAAAAAGAATTAAAAAGAACAATTACGTTGCACAAGACTAGTGTTATGCAAATCGCAAAAATCTGCAAGTAAATGGCATCTGCCAAAAAGGTTTACAATTGTCTAAAGATGCCACAGTTAATTTTAACATGAATATGTTCTCTTTCATAGCTTCCTCGTACTGCGTGTCATGTGACTACTTTTTCTGGTCATTGACTAGGGAGATAAAAATATGATTATTATTGTGATTATTATTATGCTTATGATGATGATGATGATTATTATTATTATTACTTTTTAACTGTTTTTTAACTGTTAACAGCATCAGCCGAGATTGAAAATAAACTTACACCGCAAGCTCCCTCGTACTGCGTGTCCTGTGACTGCTTTTTCCGGTCATTGACCAGAGAGAACAAAACTGTGGCTCTCTCTAACGCTAGTTCAACTATACAAAGAGGAGCAGGGGAGAGGAAGAACCATGGCTAGTACTTATAAATAACCCTGAAATTACAGACATTCAAAAGCTCTAAGCTAATTTAGATCAGCAGGAAGGGAACTTTTCAGCTACCCTATTGAGAACAGAGATGAAAATTGCATAATGGGCAAGACCCAGGCTATTTCCCAAATAAGTGCTTCAAAAACAATATCCTCAAGTCACAGTCAACACGGCAATGATGGCAATGCACTTGTAAAGACGCCATCCCGAAATGCATTTAAGTGGGGCCTGGAAAAAAAGCCAAGCACAGTCTGCTCTGAAAAATGTATTTATTATATGACTCTAATATCATCATCTTGTGCGTGAGAATGATGGTTTGTTTAAATGTGCCCTGTGATTGGCATGCGACCGGTCCAGCGTGAAAACCACCTCCTGCCCGAAGTTAGCCGAAATAGGCCCCATCTCACCCGCGAACCAAATGAGCATGATCACGATAGAAAAATGGATGGATGGATGTTGTTGTAATGGAAGATCAACTGAGAAGTGGGTCAGTAGTTTTTCACCACAACACATGAGTGCCACACAATTCAAAGTCAGCCATCTGTCCATGGAGCCGAACAATCGACCCCGAAGCGGTGGTGCGGTAGATTTCGGCTGTGATGGAGGGATGAAGATGAGCGAGGGGGTCACCGGGGGTGCATTCACAGCTTATTACGTACAAGTGTCAGCAAAAAGCCTCGCTTGAGAAAGACGCAGGCAGGGCCCGCGATGCTGTGCAGCATGTTGCTGTTCTTCACCAACGTCCCAAAAGGCTCTTTGAACTGCTCCTCTTTCACTTCCTCATCTTCCTCTTCATCCTCTTCTTGCCGTTGCGCACCTCTGAGGCCCCTCACTTCATGCCCCAGGGACCTGTCTGACACCCCCTTTCGAGGCAGACCACGTTGTTAGCCTCGTCTTCAGTCAGCCGTGTTTGTTGACACTCGAAGCATAGTGACATCTTTCATGGAAGTGAACATGTCATTTCTATTTGAAAGAAGTGACTTGCCTTGAACTTTTTCAGCTCATACCTACCTACAGTAAGGACACAGCGTTCACTAATGAAGATATTTTTACCCCAATGTAAAACAGATACCAGATGTGGAGATATGGAATACTGTTATAAGCTCGTGTTCTACCGATCATACCGTCAAATCATCGAGTAATCGAATAAAATTGATTTGGCAGTATTGAACACAACAGCGTGCGTGTCAGGTTCAGGTGTTATTTTTGTCCACTTGGGGTCGCCATCCTCACATTTTACTGTAGTATCCGTGTCTTTGAGTGGTTATGGCTTTAAAACATTCTTTTATTCCTCCATCTATGAAGATAATGAATGCAACTATGTAGGTTAGTGTGCACTGCACTGAATTAATTACTTTCTCGGGACTGTGTCTTTCAGGGATTGCGGTGTATGTCGCCCTGAGGTGTGCATGATGCTGACGATTGTAAACTGCAGAACATAAAATAAGAAGATGAGGCCAGTCCTGATAAGTGATGTGGGCATCAGCGACACACATACTATATGTTATCTTGTGTGTAATGATCCCCAACGTTGAACATTCCATCTTTGACGGACTCTTTCATCCTCTTTGCTGCCATTTCCACACGTTACGAAAAATTATTCATGCGAAACTTTGAGGCAGAGATTAACTTAGACCTTTTGTGAAATAAAATTACTGGTATTCAAGTTATTAGGTAAATTGCTGCAGCTTTAGTCTTAACAACATGCCTGTGACATACCTTCGACAAAATATCCTATGGAATAACCACTAAAGGGCACACTGTGTTTTAGATGTTTCTTCCGTAAATGAGCTACTGCGCACTAGCATCCATGTACTGCAGAGCCAATGCAGATTACGGCTTTCATGACCATGACACCCGGAGGCGTAGCTAGATCACTTGTTCTCAAACAGCTCAGAGGCTGAAGAGAAAAGCGGCAGTTAATTTGTGTTTTCCCTTGTGGAGGCTGCACTTCAACACCTGGCCGCCAAATTACACTTGTCAGTCAGGCCTCTGTTTTCATGCCCAGCACAAGTCTAGTGCTCACGGGTGAAGTTTTCTTTCTTTTGGTGTGTTCAGAGATGAGAGCAGTTACAAAAGGGTATTTGTGCCATTGTTGGCGTGAACACAGTCGACTAGCTTCCCGGCCATTGGAAGCAGCTGCTCTCATTCTCTTTAAAATCCGAAGCTCAAAATCTGCTCAGAGTGTGCCTGCAGTCTACCAAAGATTTAGGTGCGGCAGGGGCCTGCAAAACAAAACTGTATTCGGTCTGCCGGACTGCCCAGCAAGGTGCAAATTCCCAAATGCTGCAAACTCGGCTTTCACTGGCATGAAAATCAAGATGCTACAGTTTTGATGTCAGAGTGCACCTGCGCTGTCTACGAAAATAAAGCCCTTAATGTGTGTGGCTGTAACACGCAGCAGGCCTATTGCCATACAAAAATACTCCCTGTCCCCACGTGGACAACATTAAAGAAAGTGATGCTTATCAGAAAATAATGTCAATGCGGGTAACTAATGCCAGGACATGCATCACTGCTTTGCTTTTCGCTTTGATGCTTCAGCGTAACCGAGATCGTCGCTTGAAAATAGCAAACTGGCTGTGAGGGCCGTATCACGTCAATTTACCCAACTGTTGCAATACAATCCAGCAAAATTCTCAACAGCTTCGATTGGTTGTCGTCAAATTGAGACAATGTCACACTTGATCTGACCCAACGATTTGTATACTATATGTACTTAGTAGTCTGTTTTCCACAATATGTCTCCTTTTATATATATGAACACAAACTGAAAAGCCTCTTGCTAAAAATAGCGTGCCAACTCGCCAATCAATCGTACTCCTGTCAATGACCCAATTGAAACCATCATGCCATTTGGGTCCCATGCCCTCACTTTCATGAGATGTCTACTCTTCATGCATCTGACACTCTCTTGCATCATCTTGAGTCTAAATTCCAGTCAAAAGTTGCACCATGTTTAGAATTCAGATTAAAAAAAAAATCAGATTAAAAAATGATTGTTTGTCAAGGTCAATTTTGTGAGAGAGAAAAAAGGCGTTTTAATTATATATATATTCATTCAAATTTACTAAAAACCTGTAGTAATAAAAAATAGAAATATAGAATAATAAAATGATTTATATTAAAAGAACATATTATTTAAATAGCTGATTGCTAATAATGTACAAATTCACATAAATCGGATTGGGGATGGTAAACATACAACCGCTGGACCATAAAATAAATGTTAAAATCCTCTTACTTTTTCCTCAAAAATGCTCAGAATACATATTTTGTTGTTGAGTCGTTTGTTATACAAAATGAACCTGAAATAAAGACTCAAACGGGCCCTGACAAGAAAACGCTTCTCTGGGTTAGATGCCTAACAGGCTCAGCCTGCATGCTCAAATCAATTTGATTTAAAAGGGAAAATTACGACTGAAAATCAGGAACTATGGCATGCTGTTAACTGTCAATGTTTGCCAATTATAATACTTCGGTTCTTACCTTCCTCATTTTCTCTTTCATGGATGATTTGGTGCAGTTGCCCATCACCCAACCTCCCAACCTATTTGTTCCCTCTTCTTCTCTCAAACACTTTTTTCTCAAGTGCTTCTTCACTTTATTCCTTCTGGTCTCCTCACTAGCTGCCCGTCTCCAAAGTCCAGCTACTCCAGTTGTGGAGAAAAACTTCAGAGGTTTCCCCGTACTGCGACGTGAGGCCACACAGTGATGAGGAGCACCTCTAATCTATGCCGGTATTCACAAAGCCGACTGACTCCGCCCACCTTTGGCTTTCCCAAAGTGTCGTCGCCACACATCAACCAAAGTGTCAACTGAACATTTCACATGGGCATGTCTATTTCTCTTTTTCACACTGATGAAGCGCCGTAATCTCTCTTGTATCAGCACCCAAATGACTTCATCTGCGGCAAGACCACTTTTAGGAGGAGTTAAGAGGGCAAAAACAGAAGGGGATTAATCGTTGCCGTATCAGATTAAAGGAGTGGATGTGATGATGAAATGGAGAGCTGAAAGGGTACAGAGCAAGATAAAAAAAAAAAAAAAAAACGCAAGAACTGTGCGTCTGTTTGCTATTTTATTGCAATAACTGAAATGCAATGTGATTGTAATGTAAGCGACGACCGGTGTAGCGGGTTGGTTCACTAAAATAAAACAACTAGCAATTTGCATCTCGTCCTAAATCAGCAAACATTTGTGGTGTCTCTGATGAGGTTTTGTATGAACATTACGGATGATGAATGTATGTGAGAAGGAGGATGAAAATGAGAACAGTGTGGTTGAAACCGGCCACGGGAATAGAAGAAAACTACTTTCTTCAACTGCAAAAAAAGTAACGTCAATAACTACAATAGTGTCCAGAATTTCTGTTTTGGACTGCTGATGTAAGCTAGAGAGCGCCAGAGACAAAAGGTGCCATCACATGGTCACAAAGATGGGACGCTTTCATTTAGCTATCCAGTCCCATCTCCATTAAATGAATAACCAAAATATATGTTGTTAATAATTATCCATCCATCCAATCTTTATACCGCTAAAATGAATTAAAAGGGTATTGTGAATGATTTCATTAATGATATCAATTAAATCCATGAATAACTCAAACATGATGATGTGTGGATGTGTGGCCAGCATTGACGGAAACTAGTCTGGTGTGATCAGTGGGGCTGCATCGCAGGGCAGACACATCAATACATAGATGAAATGGCTGTATCATTACAGTACACCCCTACTAACTAGCGGTGGTAGATGATATTTCATTAGCTATAAATGTTTACTTTATCTGGAACATGCAGTTGAGTAAGATAAGATAAGATAAGATAAGATAAGATAAGATAACCTTTATTTGTCCCACACTGGGGAAATTTGCAGTCTACAGCAGCAAAATTTGGGGGAGGGGACAAAGTGTTTCATTGCACAAAATAAATGTTTCAGAAACTGAACTGTACTGCACAAAAAAAAAAAAAATCCCAGTGCACCAAACACACACCAAATGAACTGGTCCGGTCAAAGAGTGCTTCCAGGTTGTATACACTGCCGGCGTCCATTTTATACAATACAATACAATACATGCTGATTTATATAGCGCTTTCACAACAGCGACAGCTGTAACAAAGCGCTTAACAAAACAGTTAACATAAAGTAAAATAATAAACACAACACATAACATAAAACACGGACAGTCGTGCAGTCCTAACCACT